ATCCTGATATTCTCAACCTTGCTGTCTTGCCTCCTCCCACACACCCTGTCTTCCTGCTGCAGGTCTTTGCCCCTGCTGTGTACCCTGGCTGCAGGTGCTGGTCTTTTAGATGTCTCTGTGGACCTTTACAGCCACGCTTCCTCTCAGATGACACATTTCAGTCATGCCTTGTGGCTCACAAGGTGTTCACTGCCCACGCACTCCATCCCTTGCTCTGCTTTGTTCCCACAAATGCTTTGTACTGCAAACATTGTGCATTTATTTCCATGTTGTCTCTTCATAGCTAGTGCGTTTGCTGTTTGCTATAAGTGAAGCCCCTGAAGAGAGCCTGGTCTAGATGGTGTGTCTTGTGATAGCTGGGTGACTGAGTGAACAGAGGTATTGGGAGCATCTGACCACATTTATTTATGTGACCTTCTGAGATTCCCAGGAACATGATAACAATCAGACAGATACCAAGAAGCCAGAAATGAAAAGGAAGGAGGAGCAATGTGCTCCTGGGAAAACCAGGAGAGTGAGGCCATAGCACCCAGGAGGCAGGTGCTTGCAGAAGGGAGGAGTCAGCTCTGGACATTGCTAAACCACAAGAGAAAGAGAACAAAAAATAGGGCTCCTTGGGGAGCAGAAAATGTATGGGATAGGTAGGGTGTTAGTTGGGGGGGCAGAGGAGGAGGGGAGGGAGAGGGAACTGGAATTGACATGTAAAATAATCTTTCTAATTCAAATTTAAAAATTAATTTTAAAAAAAGGGGCCCTCTAGGTAAACTTGGGCTCCAAGTCTTCTCACTACAGATGGAGACGGGACTTCCTTCAACGCTCTAGCTCCACGTCATCCTCAGGCTATATGTGAAGCATAAGATGGGAAGAAAAGGCCAGGGAGTGTGGTGATATCCTGTGTCCACAGCGAGGGTTTAGTTCCTCAGAGTTTGGACACCAGGACCTCTCCAGTACCCCTGTGAACTGAGACCTTGGACATCTCTCTCCCCATGGTTTTCTTTCTCTCACCCAGGTTTTCTTCATGGACTACAGCAGCTGAAATCAAACTGTGGAGACAAAACGATGTTTTTTTGGACGTGAGCCCTGCCAGGCAGGTGGGAGTTGGTGTCTGTGGTCCAGAGTTACCTCTTCTGGGGACCTCTGTCCCTCGTCACTGGCTCCACAGATTCTGCAAGAACTTGTAATCTAATGGCTTCTCTCTGGGCTGAAAGACAGGAAAGATTGTTAGACAAGAGGGTGGAGGAGTTCTCTTAAGCCCAGGCATCTACCAAAGAAAAAAGGGGACATTTACAGCTCACGGGATAAGTTCCAGGAGATGGAAAATTACACAGAACACTTGACGTCTGCACAGCTACTGAGACAGCATTTCTCGTCTGAGATTTTACAGAATCGTTTTTTAAATTCATCTGTCCCAGTCTGGATGGTTTCCCTGGTCTTGGTGCCATGACCTTTGGTTGGATGGAACACAGGGAAACCCACCACCTTCTGAAACCCTGATCATCTATATTTAAACCCACTTACCTTTTTTCCTGCGTTTATCTTGATGCTTACACTGGAGAAGGAGGAGGGTGAGAAGAGAAAGCAACAGAAGGAGAGCCATAGCTATCCCAAAGAGAACCTTCAGGTACCTTTCAAGCCCTGGGGAAAAGTAACATCATGAATAAGAAACCATGGCGCTACCTGCTTGAATACCTACTGTGTGCAAGAGCTATGCTGCTGGGTCTTTGCCCTCATTATCTGCCCTTGTCACAATCATACAATAAGGGTTCATTCCCTCCCCCAGTAAGCCAGATCATCTGGCTAGAAGCGGCAAATCTGGGCTTTGAAGCCCGGGAATCTAATTTCTGGCATTGCACCTTACACCAAGGTGAATCCCATGAACTAGAGGGAAGTAGCCTGAATTCCCTGCTGCGACCCTGGTTCTACGCCCTTTCACATGCCCCTGTGACTTTGTAAGACAGGACAGCCCCAATGCAGAATCAGGTTCCGTAAAGTCTCCTATGTCAGGGGAGGTCCCAGCTTAGGTCACTGCTGAAAGGAACTTAACAATGTGGACCGGGCTTGTCCCTTTCACAGCTGGAAAAATAGACTGGGACAGCATAAAGGCTTATCTAAGCCTGAATCCCCAAAAGAGGCTGCACCAAGCCCCTCATTTTCTCTGGATCCTTGGAGCCTACATCTCAACACTAGCCTCAATATTCCTGGGGCTTGGATTGTCATGGGCGAGGACCTAGTTTCCAGAGCATGCTGGAGAGGGAGGGGCAGGTGAGGGGCTTGGTACTCTGCTCTCTACCTCATCCACCTGCTCCTCCGCAGTCTGAGTTCTAACCTCTCTATCTGGATGTCCCCTTATGCATCCCAGGATCTGGGATACTGAAGACGCTGCTAAGATCTCAGCTTGGCTTCTGCATCCTTGGACATAAACTGTATCAATAGAGGAACCAGGTATAGGTGTGCTGAGGGTTGGCGGGCAGCCTGGGGATGGAGCAAACCCAGAAGAGAGAGGCCACTGACACTCACCAGATGCTGGAATGAGCTCTTGCGGTGAGGAGTCGAGGTTTGCAGAGAATTCTGGGAAAGAAAACAAGTTGAATATGAGGGAACAGAGGCTGAGCCTGGAGACTTTGTCTCTCGTTGTCTTACATCTGCCACCCAAGAGTCCCCTGCCATCCGCTTAGACCTTTCTGAATTTCAATAAAGAGGGGCGATGGGAATTTTTGAAGGACTACTATTGGGTTCTGCAACTTTGGGTGGTGAATTCCCCACATGGCTGACTCTCCTTGTTTCCCCTCACTCACATTCCAGCTAAGAGCTCTTCCAACTGTAGAGTCGTGAGTTAGCCTGTTAATTCAGAGAGGCCAAAGATCACTCACCTGAAACCACAAGCTCCACGGGGTTACTGGGTTGTGACAACACGTAGGGGAATAAATCTTCGGAACTATAGCACTTGTAGGTGCCCCCGTAGACAAAGGTCACGTTCCTCAAGGAGAATTTTGCCTGGTACAGCCCAGTTTGCAACACTGATCTTAAACACAGGGGTGGGGCGGCAGTCCCCTCTTTAGACAGAAGGAAGGTGTCCATTTGATGCTGTGATTGACACAGCAGGGTCACATTCTCTCCAGTAGACACTCTGGGGCCTGGGTGCACTGAGAGGGTAGGTGTGACAAGAAACTGTCCTAGAGAGAAGATGGATGAATGAGCGAAGCTCACCTTTATTTGAGCTGAGACTTTACCGGTTTCAGTCTCTAAGAACTCAGGTCTCACTGATTCTGCTTCATCTCTGCATCTACAGTTTATTGAGAATATACCCCTCATATTGACCTTCACAACCTGGACTTCCACAGCCCATCCTGTCGAGTCAGGGTCTCTGACTGGACTGGCTAGGCTCCTAACTTGTGACCACGAGGACCCTGGTATATGGTCACCCAGAAGAGAGTCTGTGTGTACCATGTCATCTACACTTGGCGAACAATGTCAGGTGCTCTCATGGGGCTCAGGATGAGAGTCAGCCCAAGTGCCCATTTAGGGTTGTAGGTCACTGTGCCAGGAGAGGTCATTTCCTCCTTCCCTTCCCTGGACAGTGCAAATCCACTGAAGCTGATATCAAAGAAACACTGGTGGGTTAGTGTCTCTCCAGGAGCCAGGATGGGGCCATGCTATGTCAGAAAGGAGGACATCCTGGACAGCCTGTCATATATCTGCCCCCTTCCCATCATGCCCTGCAGGTATTACTTCTGTAGCATTCCAAAACACTAGTTCAAGACCTTGGGGTTTCTTTTAGCACCCTCCTGTATGGGACTCCTCGGGGACCAGAGCTCACAGGTCTCAAAAAAAAAATGATTATACAGTTGCTGGGAATACTTCACCTGCAATGTATATTTAAAGGGGGGGGCTGGGCTTAGACCATATGTAGGTAATATTTTTGTAGCCATAACATCTAAACACTCCTCTATGACTGACTGTCACAGGACCTATATGGAAAAGAGCCTGGAAGCGCCCAGTAGAGTTTATATGCTGTGAGTCCCTGGAGAACGGCTCATCTTCCTTTGTCAGAATAAAGCTGTTGTATCTCTCCCGTGAGACACACCGGAAGGTCATGTTCTCTCCTGAAGTAACCACACGGCTTGTCAGGGCTGATAGTCTGGGTTTTGTGAAGTACCCTAGACAGAAGAAGGTAACTTGCTACGTGGACTCACACAGCCCACACTGTCCCTCGGGGTTGAGCTATGGGAGGAAAACACTCTTGAGAACAGACAGATCCCTTTTCTGAGTGGGGAAAATTAGGCTGGAACCCTTACCTGTCACCACCAGCTCCAGGGTATCACTCTCCTCTGACCAACTAGGAGGCTTGTGATATAGACAGAGATAATGCCCAGCATGGGAAGATTCCGTAAAAGGGATGAGGAACTTGGCCATGTTTCCAGGCTTCATCAAAGTCATTTTGTGCCAGGTACCTAGGTTTCTGTGTTGGTAAAGGTAGTAACCCTGAGCACCTGAGGTCCCCTCACAGAGGATGGTCACCTGAGATCCTTTGGCAACCACAGATCCTGGCTCAGCACTGATGGCGGGCTTTGGAAGTCTCCCTGCAAGGAAATTAGTAGCTATGCCATGGAACACCAAGCTTTTCGTTTCCACAACCTCAGCACACATCTGCTGCTTTCCACGCCCACTGCCCAGAGATGCTCCCTTGTCCTCAGTGAGGATGAACAACCTGAGACACCTGAGGACACACTTACTTGTGAGCAATGGGTTCCTGAGGCCCAGAGTCAGTCCTGGAAGAGATTTCCCTGTGAGAGGTTTGTCCGTGAAGACTGAGTAGGCCCTCCCTTCCGCAGTTGCCTTCTGGGTTCCTGAGATGTCTTGATAGAGCCATGCCTAGCTGCAGGGTAATGCCCCCTCCCCTTTTCACATCTCACCAAGGCAGAGGAAAGCTGTGAGGGTTCCAGTCATGGCATCTCCTCCTGTGGCTGCAACCTTGTAGATGGCTGGTGACAATGCCTAGCCAGATGGGCCGACGCACAGGGAGTGGCCTTTTACTGTGTTTTCTCCCTCTTATCACATTTCAGCAGCCACACAGGAAGAGGAACTGCCATGTCCAGTCAACTGTCTTTGGTTTCTCCAGTAATACACTTCAAGCAGGACCTAGATTCTCTAATTGATCTTTTGAGGAAGAGCCTCACGAAGCCCCAACAGTCTTCACACACTTGATCCTCCTCCCTCAGCCGCCTGTGTGCTAGGATTACAGGCCACCAATGGGCTATAGTCTCTTCTTGCAGAAGCAGCAATTCCATGGAATCTCTATATCTGGCTAAATGATTTTCAAGTCATCAATGGCGAGGACTTAGCAATAAACAGCCCTAGTGTCTTCCCAAGAAGTAACTCTCTAACTGAGAATAGTCTCTGGCTTAACATTCCTTCTCAAAGATTCCCCCTATTGGGTCTCCTTCACATTTTCAGCCAGACCATCCTCACAGAACTTCCTTCAGATGACTTGTGGCCTTAAAAAATAACATCTCATGTGCCTTCTTTGGTGCAACACCCCAGGTATTCAACCACAGCAGAAGCAACATGCACTTAGTGATAAAGCAACTCACCAGAAACCTGATTGCATTTGAGGTAGCCTCTTTACTATCGCTTAGATTCTTAATTGGAAACATTTTTGTGCATCTCTGGATATTTCCTTAACCAAATTTCTCTTTAAACCTACAATGACTCCCTCTCTTCTCTTGCTCTCCTCTATTCATCCACAGAATCAATCTTCTTGATCCCTCACGTTCCCCTCCCCCTCTTCTTCTAATTCCTTCCCCCCTCTCCCCTCCCCCACACTCCCACTTTGTTCAGGATCTCTTGTCCCTTTCCCCTTCTCCAGGGGACCATGTCTGTCTTTCTTAGGATCCTCCTTATTTCCTAGCTTCTCTGGAGGAGTCGATTGTAGGCTGGTAATCCTTTGCTCTATGTGTAAAATCCTTATATGAGTGAGTGCACATCGTGATTGTCTTTTTGTGACTAGGTTACCTCGCTCGGGATCGTTTCTCCTAGTTCCATCCATTTGCCTGAGAATTTCAAGATTCCACCTGAGCTTCCCCTATAATGAGACTGATGACTACCTTAAATGCCATCCTAAAGCCTTCATCCAGTAGCTGACGGAAGCAGAAGCAGAGACCCACAGCTAAGCACTGAGCCAAACTCCTGGAATCCAGTTGTAGAGAGAGAGGAGTGATGAGCAAAGGGGTCAAGACCGTGCTGGGGAAACCCACAGAAACAGCTGACCTGAGCAAGTGGAAGCTCATGGACCCCAGTCAGACATCTGAGGAACCAGCATAGAACTGAACCAGACCCCCTGAACCTGGGTGTCAGGAAGCCTTGGCAGTCTATAGGGCCTCTGGCAATGGAACCAGTATTTATCCCTAGTACAGGAATGGACTTTTGGAGCCCATTCCCATGCAGGAATACACTAACAGCCTAGACCCACAGGGGAGGGCCTAGGCCCTGCCCCAAATGATGCGACAGACTTTGATGGTCCCCCATGGAAGGCCTCGTTCTCCCTGGGGAGTGGATGGGGGGTGGAATAGGGGAGGGGTGTTGGTGGGGGTCATGGGAACATGGAAGGGAGAGGGAATTGGGATTGATATGTAAAAATAAGATTGTTTTTAATTTAAATTTTAAAAAATATTTTAAAAAGGAACCTGATTGCATATTTATTCCCCAATCATTGCCTCCGGGACACATCGTTTATGGTTTATTCTTCAAGAATTAGAGTCACTTAAGCCACAGCTGGATGAAGTCTGCCTGGTTAATCCTGTAACAACCACCTGAGGACAGTTCTTGCTGCCCATGGTGGGAAGAAAGGGCCTCTCTGCGTAGACTCAGTCTCATGTTGGGTCGGATCCATGTACCTGGGTCTTCAAGTTGGGCCTTTTCAATGTTTGTTTGCCCCCCCCCATGGACTTTGTATCTGAAGATGTTAGGGACAGTGGGTGATTTCCTGTCCATTTCCCAGTGGGTGCAGATTTCAGATGGTCTTGGTGTAAACCATGAGAAGTCTCTGAGGGCATCGGCCTTCTGTGGTATTCGTGTAGACTTCTTAGCCCACAACAACTTCCTGAACCCTCCTGGGTTGTCAGTGACTTTAAAAATCTGTCTTTCTTGCAGCCACAGTGGACATCACCTGGGAATGATGTGGAGACGCTCATGGCTCTTCCCTAGAAGATTAAGGCTTTTCCATTCTCGTGATGTATTATTTCTGGCGTCCACAAGTGGCTCAGACAATAAGATCTTCCCAGTGGTTCTTTTTAATTAAGTAAGTTTTTGTATGTTGTGCTTCTAGTGACTATGATACACTCATGATTTTCCTGTTAAAAGTTTCCTGCAGGCTGCAACCGAAGATTTATAATAAATAGCAGAAGTAGAAAAAAGTTGACTGGAAAAGAGAAATGGAAAAAGAAAAAGTGAGAAGAGGCATCTAGATAGCTATGGATCTGTGTAGGTAGGTGTGAGTGTATTTTGTGTCCTTATGAGGTGAAGTTTAAATTTTTCATAGCATGGAAACAATGTGATTATATATTTCCTCTCATAGGGGGAAAACATGGTCGTGTGAGAGCTCAGGGGTTTGTCATGTGGTATGACAGCCAAGAACCCTGTTGCCGTTCTCCTCTGGTAGTCCTCAGTGTCTGATCTCTGCGCGCTGTGATGGAGACCTAAAGTGTGTTATTTGTAAGCCTTCTCTTAACGATTATCAGACAATGACACGGGTTTTGTTTTTTGGGTTTTTTTTTTTTTTCTTTTTGAACAATGAGCTGAGGTTTTATGTCAGGTAGTTTCAAGTTAAAATTGTGAAATACTTATTTCCCACCCACACCAAATATTTAGTCTATTTTTTCATTGGTTTTTCAAGATAGGGTTTCTCTGTGTAGCTTTGGAGCCTATCCTGGCACTCACTCTGGAGACCAGGCTGGCCTCGAACTCACAGAGATCCTCCTGCCTCTGCCTCCCGAGTGCTGGGATTAAAGGCGTGCACCACCAACCCCCGGCTCTATTTTACTTTTTAAAGAAATAGTTCTGCTTAAAATGTTGCCTAAATGTTCTGTGATTTCTGGTCAATTTCTATACATACAGACCTGTGTGCATCTTCTCACTTTCTTCCACCTTTGCTCCCTACTTGTGTTAACAGTACTGTTGCCTTTGGAAAGTGGTCAGTTTTCCTAGCATTAAGAAGAAACATTTGAGTTTAAAAAAAAAAGTTTCCTGCAGATTTTCTAATTATAATATTAAGCTGTTTGTAAAGACATTTTCCTTACAATATCCTTAATAGTTACAGCTCCTTAATTTCATTGTGACCGTCATCACTATTTCTAGCCTTGTTTTCTTCTCTTTGGGGTTTTTTTTTTTTTTTTTTTTTTAGTTCTAGTTAGGGAACAAGCTTATTTCAAGTTCCTTCTCCCTCTCCCTCCCCCCCCCCGAAACCCTCCTCCCCCACCCCCAGCCTACTCCCCACCCCATCCACCCACCACTCCCCAGGCAGGGTAGGGCCCTCAACTGGGGCTCTGCAAAGTCCACCAAGTCTTCCTATGCTGGTCCTGGGCCCTTCCCCATGTGTCCAGGGCCAGAGTGTAACCCTTCATATGGGATGGGCTCTCAAAGTCCCTTCTTGCACACTGGTCCCAGTTTTAACATTCATGGATGCATCTTAACTCTCTATCAAATTCTCTCCCTCCATCTACAGTGGCAAACTTACTTCCCTTTTACTTTTTCGTGATGGAAAATATCAGGTTGATGCTTGAAATTCTTAAACCAACCTTGATTCATAGAATGAAGCCATGTTTCTCATATCTGTCGTTGCTCTTACATGACAGGGTATTTCCTGTTAAATATTTAGTCTAGGACATGATCTCTAATGTCTTCGGAGGGCCTGAACTGTCCTGGTCCTCTCATGTAAGGAGCCACTGAGGTTTTGGATTGAAAATGGAGCAAGTCTGGAGAACTTTCGGCTACTATTTTTGTGAAAGTTTGTGAGGGGAAAGGAGCCCACTTGAGGCAGCCAGCCCTGCCCTGCCCCCGACAGACAGCCCCTGCTATGTTGTTACCAAGGGAAAGCCATGCCCTATACCTCTGTGCCCTAGAACTTCTCAGGCCAAGCTAGACACTTCCTCTGTAGCTATGTGGCCACTCCTCCCCTTCCCCCAGGCTCCAGAGCCATGGGTGGCTCTCCTCAGACCCTAAGGGTCCCAGCAGCTACCACCACGTCCCACACACTCCTGCCCCCATCCCCCCTGTTGCAGCTTTCTTTGCTGATAACATAAAACTTTGCTATGACTTACAGCTGTTAACAACAACCCCTGCTTTTCCTTCTCTGAAACCCTGTTGCTATCCTTTTCAGATTCCCTCTCCCTGCCTTCCTCTGCCAACCCCTCCAACTC